TCTGAATCAGAAATGTCTACCCTGATATCTATAGTGTATTAACTATATGTCACATCTAACATGACAATCAGTGACTTGATGGATACTGAAATACTCTGGGAGATCAGAAATCTTTAGTTAAAGGCTTATTCATACAGCACAGTGCTTGTGATGACTGCATGGATTTAGTATAATGGGCAAGTCAGTTTAAGGGGTCACTCTTCTCTGTGTGCATTCATAAGCAGAACTRCAACAATTCATTTCTATTAATTTTTATGTCTTTCTGCCACCCTTTTTCCAAATAGCACTTGGTGTGAAAAAGAAGGAATAAACTATTAGCAGGAAAATTTGCCCCAGGGCTGCCCATAGAGACTGAAGTATCTCAGGCTGTACTTGAGAYCTGCTTCCATTTCACTGTGAGAAGGGTGCTGACATCAGCTGAAGAAAACCATGTAGTGTACTCTAGAAATGCCAAAATATATTTGTTAACAAACTATCTACTTATGGCTGGCTCTTCTGGGCAAAACAAAAGTGCCAGTTTCTACACACCACCTTGGCCTCAGAGCATTACTGTCATGCTACAGTGAGGTGGAAGAGGGTAAATGGAGATGAGCAGCACTTTCCCACTTATATTCATATATATATATATATATATATATATATATATATATATATAGACACACATGTATATATACATATATATATAACTTATGTTCATATATATGTATATATAAAATATATAAACATACATATATAAAAGAGAGGACTGTTCACTTACTTCTTAGAATATACACCTCCCAGTGAACTGTGAGAGAGGAGTTTGTCAGGCTTGGATTGAACCTGCTGTTCCCATACAGTAATCAGCCACTTCATCTTCCCAAAGTGGCCCATTTCCCTTTTATTGTTAGCTGCACTTATCTCGTTATTTCACATCTAAAATTTAACAGCAACTTGATGGCCTCTCTTCGTTTGAAAGTATGGGTTCTGTGAGAACAAAACAGCTTCCTATCCACCAAAGGAGCACATTTGTTATTAACATTAGTGATGCATCATTAGAAGAAGCAGGAAACTCTTGTTTTCAAGTCACCAAAGAAAAAAATCAGGCATCTGCTTTTAACTTGCTGTTTTCTGGACTCCCTCCTATAATCCTGCAGGTAGAAGAATAGTTCAGTTTGCTGGATTATGGCCTATGTCCAATACACTATATATGCAATATATCCTACATTGGATATTGAAGTCCTATTCACATATCTCCATCCTATCCACACATTGTATTTCTTGCTTGTATCTGCCTTTACAGACGCTTGCCCAGCTGCTCATGTGCTAAGTACAGGCAAATTTTTCCTTTCTCAAATTCAGGAAGAGAAACAATTCACATACAGGGAACCCAAAGCTGTATTTAAGATGAGGCTGTTACTTACTTCATATGTTTTGAATCCTGTCTCTGGAACCAGGACTTTTAAAATCAGAAGGATTTTAAAAAAATCCTGCTGTTTAGGAAAAATGTTTTATGTTTGAACAAAGGCATTTGTTTGAGAGTTGCTGGGATTACTACAGGCTGCAAGCTCATTTATACAGGGCATGAAACAGCAGGGACTCCAAAGCAGCCAGAAATGCTTCCCTCTGGTTCACCGGCACTTTGACTTTGTTCCTGAGGCCGTGCTGGGGCGCCGAGGCTCTGAAGCTCATTTGGGGCTGACAGGAGTCAGACTGGGGCAAAAGCAAAATAGCTCATGAGAGATTTCTGCATCGCCAGGAAGTGAGATGGAGACGGCTAATAGCGGCACGGAATTACAGCAGAGGATTGTTTCACCAGAGAGCCTGATACTGATGTGTTCTGGAGGAAAATCAGCTGCTATGTCAACTGTCTGATAGTGAGTATAAAAAGTGAATACTGCTACGCAGGGCTTCTTATGCATGAGAGACAGGCTTACATACACCCTTGAAGATAAACCTCAAACCAGGAGAGGAGGCTCCTGAATAGTTCATTATATCCTTTTCTTCTGGTGTCCCTGCTCCAGCATTGCACGAATATCCAGTTGCATTTTAAGACCCACATGTTCAATGGATAGTGCTGCTACATAAAATACCTCCTGATTACAAGAACATCACYGGCCTGGCCACACCACAGCAGCAGAGGATTAGAAATCATGTGCAGGAGTACACCAGTAGGATGTTTTAGGGCACAAAGGATGGCACTCACCCAGGTAAACTTATGGAAATGACACATGCAGAAACCCAGGAAGATGAGGGTCATGGCAAGAAAGTGTGATCATCTTACTAATTCTCCTGTGGATTAGCTCAGGGATGTTAAATAAGCAAAATGAATTGCAACTGATTTGAAAAAACCTCCTCCAAGATCCTCTACCAAGCAATCATGAAGAACCTCAGCTATCACAGATAAAACGGAAAAGGCCTCTTGTGGCTTAATGACAGCTTAAAGATAGGAAACAAAAGCAGTAATAAATATTCTATGTTCACAATGGGATGAGTTTCCCAGAGGACTCACACAGACATTAGTGTTGGAACCCACTATCCACACATGATTTTTATAATGGGACTGAGTAATGAATTGGCAAAATATAATGATAATACCAAATCAGACTGTCAATCAAAACAATTTGGTTGTAAACACTGAAGGCTCCTACAATATCGATTGAGAAGGCCTTCAAACTGTAGCTTTAGAGGGCTAATAAATGAATGGGATAAAAAGCACCCTAAAGACACACAGTGCAGAGTGATGATATTTAATGGAGGTCTTATCACTCAGGAAACAGATTTTGGATAGGTTTRTGAAAATCCAATACAAGTGCTCAGTAGGAAAAAAAAAAAGCAAAGAAGATTTTTAAACTTTTAGGAAAAGAATTTGAGTCCGAATCAACAAACATGGTTATGTTGTTACCAAGTTCTGCCCACCATTTGGTAATTATGAGGTCTTTTCTCACAGTGGACAAGTTTGGAACAGTAAGTAGAGGTAGGTTCACAATGAATGAACATAAATAGTTCTTCACGTATGCATAGCTGATCCCTGGAAGTCATTGTTAGAGGATACTGTGGTTGCCAGAATTTAGCAGAGTTCAAAAAAGGATTAAATCCCTGGAATAAAAATTCAGCAAGGGCCATTAAGCACAAAATTCCAGCTCATGGGACAGGACCTCCTTGAACCACATGAATGCAGATAGGATATGCAACATGTACAAAATCACTAGATGCCTATCCCAGCATTGTATTTTTCCCCCCAAAAAAGCTGCATCTGCTCGCTGGCTGACTCATGATACTGGGTAGGTCTGAGTAGGACAGGCCAGTGTGTGTTCTTACCTSAGCTAACCGGACTGTACTCACCCCATGGCCGATGTAAATGTGAGATCCTAACAGCACTGCTAGTGCATAAATGCATCAAAATAACTGCTCCTGTGGTCTGTGGCTGGAACCTGAGGAATGATAGCATTTCCCTGGGCACAGCCTCTCCATGCCCTCCTGTCACATTTGCTGGTGAAGTGTAAGCTGCTGGTCTGTTGGCCACAATGTCGGGCTCAGAGGATGTGACCTCTCTGTCCCTTCTGCTCTCCCAGGGGCTTTTCAGGGGCCAGGAGCTTCTGGATGGTTGGTAAGATAATTGCAAGGGGTCAGTTGTTTCATCCAGTGCCTGACTACTAATTTAGGCATTATGGTCTCACTCCTGTTCAGTTTTAAACACTTTTTCTCAGTGCAACCACACCAGCATAAAATAGAGAATAGAGACTCCACTGGCCTTAGCTGAACTCTTCACAAGCCAAGAATAGCCAGCATCCCAGACTGTGTAAAGTCCCTAAAGACAGTGGTTCTCAACAGTAAATTAAAGAAAAAAAATATCCCACAGTTGAGTAATAGAGTTCAGAGGTGGCAGACCTCCTCTGCTAAAATATTTGAGAGTATTATGACAGAAATGAGCTAAAAGTAGCTTCCATACCCTTAGTGCAACTCCATCTGCTGAATCTATACCCAAGTTCCTAAAACTAAACCGACAGGAACTCTGTAAATGTATTTAAGTATGGGTTTACATAAGTGGTGGGTTTACACACATCCTACTCTCACAGTCTCACTAACAAAGTGTTTGGTTAACACACTGATAATGTAAGAAAGTGTTTAGATAAACTTAGTTTCTTATAATTATCCAAATACATTGTAAATCCCTACACAGCCCTACTGCTGGTGTCACTCAGTCACAGACAAATATTCCTATCTGAGCTGAAGGTTCATGCCTTTGCAGACATCAGGTGGGGGCTTTGCTATTTGTTTTCTTTTCAACAGGGCTCCTGTACCATCATGATGAAACAGACAAGAGAGGAAATATTCAGGTTTTGATCTGGTTTTGACAGAAGTGTTTTTCTCTCTCTCTGTGCTAGAGAAACAAAGTTGGATTTTGTGAAAACTTTTTAAAAGCAACAAAGCAAAAGAGAATAGGTCTTGGCAACACTACTTCAAATACAGCAGCAGGGGACTGGTGCATGGGAACATGAAATTCTCCAGGCTCCCTGAATTCAATGAATACTTATTGCATGATTTCAGTCTCTGGCACTAAGAGGCAGACAGACATGATGCTTAGGGCACAGGACTAGGTGCCAGTGACTTGCTGGAAGACTTGAGGGAAGTTGTATAACCTGTCTCTGTACACCAATTTCCTGACTGATAACAGTAATCTTTGACTTTCTTAACTGTTTTGGTACCTATATGCAAAAAAAATGGAAATACAAATTTGTAGGAAGATTAATTTTCCTTACAAGCAGTATCAGTCCACTAGAGGTAGGCTAAAATTTATTTAAGTGTATGAGCTAAAGAGAAAATAAATACCCTTTAAAATGGTCCTATACCTGACTGGTAGTGGATTCCTTCAGGTGCRACACTTATTGCTCAAACTTGCAGAATGCCACAGATTTCCCAATGTGTTATTAAATGCAAGTTATTTGGTCTCATAAATTCTGTGTAACAAGAATGTAGGGTTCTATGTGTGGCTCCACAGACCACTGTGCACGAACCAATAAGCTGAGTCTGGACTCCAGGGCTGGACTGCAGCCTAGCATGCAGGGAAGTACTCTGCAGGATGCTTATAGAGCATTTTGTTTACTGACAATTGAAATGTCTGTTTTTTACTCTACAGTCCCCAAGCCATCACCACCAGGACACCCACTAGGTACAGCAAAGCCATCCTTTTCCTGGTGACCCTTCCTGGAGAACCAGGAGAGATTAATCTCTGATCAGCAACCTCACAAATAAAGAAGCTGGGGAATATGAGACACATATGGATCACTTATTCCTCACCCAAAGCTAGAATTTAGCATAATCCACATCAAGTGTTCTATAGAGTTCATTAGTTGCCCTATATGATTGGAGCAGAATGCATGATGCTTATAGCTTCTAATTCTGAATTACTTCTTTCTTCATATAATAAAATTTAGGAGTATCAGTATATCTATATATCTACATATATCTATATATATCTATATATATCTATATATATCTCTATATCTCTATCTCTATCTCTATCTCTATCTATATCTATATCTATATTTATATCTATATTTAATTACAAAAAAATTAAAAGCCCAACCAAACCCCCACAATAATGCCTGGCAGGAGTTCCACAATAAACCCGCAGTAGGACAGTTACAATATAGATATTTATGAACTAGACAAGTCCCTGGACAGGATTTTCAGTCTTCTAGCRATGCATAATTTAAGCATTTAATTTTTAGACTCCATATTTCTTGCAAACTTCTTTCCACTCACATTTTGCACTGTGTTAAATACACACCACAGAACTGATGTGTCTCACTGGACAAAGCTGCAGGTTGTTGTTTTTATTTTTACACAGTGGAACCCCACCAAATAGCAGGAGCAACAGAGAGGAAAGGGCTTTCCATAGCTCTCTTTCAAGCCACCACTCTGCTCCTCCAGAAAAAGTGCAGGCAGCCTGCTGCTCTCCTTCCCCACAGCCTGCCTTTGGAAAATGTTTCCAGCATGGAAGCACAGGAAGTGCCAGAGAGGCGCCAGAGGAAGCCAGAGAAAGCGTACAACCTGCAGCAATGCAGGAGAGGTAAATTATTTTCCAGCAGACATTGCTTCTCACTCCTCCAGCTCCCAGCACAGGTGTACTTCATTTCTCCCCTCTCCAGATCACTCCCTTCCATTCCCTCTTCCAGCAGCCACTTACCAAGACCTTTCCTCTGCTGATTCCCCCTCTGCTCAAAATAGGCACACCAAGAGAGTTGGTTGATAAGTTCCATTCCAGATGTGAATTTCTTTTTACTCTCTCAATTATAGAGTGATGAAAATGTTGCCGTCTGCCCTCATGTTTATCCTGGCATGCTATCACATCCTTCTCACAGGCTTTCTCCCTGCCCTTCTGTCTGAATATAAGCTCTGTTTCAAATCAACCTCATGGTGTTCCTCATTTGTTGTTGTCTACTTAAGGTGTTGCTCCATGTTTATGGAATGTAGTTTTACTGGAAAAATTCCTTGGCCAAAACCTTCAAAAGGAACTTGGGTCTATTTTTCATGACACTTGAAAAGCTCTGACTTTCTGGGAAGGTTGGTTTCCTCAGTCTGGCCATAAGACCTCTTTGAAGTATCTCAAGTTGGGCAATAAAATATTGCAAAATTGAAATTACACCTGACCTGTGAAGAAGATTGGTCCTGTTTGTGTTTGCCAATTTTTCTCACCTCTTGTTCAATCAGATTTTGACAGGCAAGTGCTGTTCTTAGCTATAAGGACATGAAATTAAGGCAAAACTGGGTCCTGAAAGAAGTTTCCAGACCATGCTGCTGTGGAGATCTTCTACTCCTAACCAGAATTCACTGTATGCCTTGTAAGTGCTCAGGATTTGCACTTAAGTAGCTGAGACTGAAATTGGCTTTGAAGTACTTTATATGTACTCTGTTCTTGGATTGCAAAAGAATGAAGCAGCGATTCATGTATTTCAGTCTATTTTTTCTCCTTTTATGTCCTGGGGAGCTTAYGACAAGTAATATATTCACTGGTTCCTAATATGTTACCAAACATAATAGGTTGGATGATAAATTAAAACCAAATGGAGCTCTGAATATTTTGCTTTCAAACCACTAGCAAGCCTGTTTTGTTTTAAAAATAAACTTTGTTCTCACTTCACTCAGATTAGTGGCACTTCACTTTGCTCAGACTAGTGACAGGGAGACAACTCTGGCCATGACACCTGGGAATGACATGAAAATAACTTCTAAAATAGCAATTGTGATGTGAGGGATTACGTGTCTGCAGAACATTTCAAACAGGAAACAGTCTGTGTGTCTCACAAGCTTAGGTGTAGCTCAGCTAGGAAGTGCACAGTCACATCACAAACCTCCCGTTCACTTTGCTCCTAATTGGCAACCCTGTTAACAACATCAACAAAGAGCTATTTACTGAAACCTGGAAGCTAATAGGTCATGCCATAGACTTGTCATGTTCTTATATTATTTCCTAGGCATTCACTAGCAGCTGTGGGGAAAAACAGGATCCCTGAGCCTGATGGACTTTTGCACTGGCTGAGGACACAATAAAATAAATATTCAAAGATTGAAAAACTACCTAGTAGTTTGAAAAGTGAACGTCAAAATGTACTTTAAAACACGCATTATGAATTCTGCATGGCTGCTGCCCCTGTTCCTTAGCTAAAGCTGTCAGGGTTCAAAAGTAAAATCACACAGCTTTTATTACAACGATTTCAGAATGTCTTCTAAAGATGTGTAATTCTCAATCTGCCTCCCCAGAATAAACTGGAAATGAAGAAATACACTTATGCAAGGTTCAGGCACACTGGCAGGTTACTGTCAGAACAGGTACTTTTAAGTGCATGCTCAAGTGCCATTGAAGTCACAGGTGCCTCGCCAGCTCCATCTCCTGCTTTGCTTACTTGAGCAGTTACTTTAAAAAGAGGCCAGAGATGCTATAAGCAGCAATCTCTAAAATTAAACTTCTGCAGTGCTGGTGGTTCATTGATTTCCATATCAAAGGCACTTAGGTGGCAGCCAAAGAGATGGCTTTTCCCAGTCTGTCACTGCAAGCAAGTCTTTGGTGCTGTCACTTGGCTAGGATTATGGCAAGAAATAAGCACTCCCGTAGGGCAATTCATTCCCCTTGCCTCACACATCTATTTCCGGATGACAGGACTTGCTTTCAGAGGTATCTATTTCTGTCTTGACTGTGCGGGGACCTGGTATGACTGACCCAATCCTTTTAGAAGGCATCTCCACTAGACTCACTGCTTTGAAGTCAGGACAGATGCTTTTCACTCAGTATGTTATTTATAACATGAATCAAGATTGTGTGGATAGAGCATAAAATAGTCCCTGCATTCTGCAGACTAAAAGAAACCTAAGTAGAAAAGGAATGAGTATTTCTTATTCTCAAGTATTTCTGTCAGTGGATACAGTTTAGCTGACTTGGCTGACATTCCAATTTTGGGATCTAGTCTTAATTTGGAGTTCAAATTGAAGCTATGCTATGCCACAGGGCTGACAGGCACATCAGTGACTGTGTCATACAACTTGAGAAGCCAGAGAAATACCAACACAGATTGTATTCACACCTTCATGGGCAAGACAAGGTACTGTCCTTGGGATAGGTGTCTATGCCTCCACCATTTCACTAGCAGGGTCTGCACAGAGAAAGGCTGAAAACTGTTAGGTGCTAAGAAACCCAGGGAAGAATTAAATATTAACTTCTTCCAACTGATTATTTCCTGGTTATGTTATTGCTGAGTGTTTCATCCCCTGCAATTGTGTGAACATGTATGTTTTAGTCAGGCACCAACTGGCAAAACTGAGATGAGACTTCCGGTGTAAAACAATGCCCTCTATTAAAGAAGTAAGTCATCAAATAAGGGCATCTATAAATAGAAAGGATTGTAAAAAACAAATAGGGGAAAGCATCTGGCTTGCAACATCTTTGCACAATTTGCAGTAGCTAAATCTGGACTCAATTAATGACCTGTTTATTTTCCAAAATTTCAGTAAAATGCCTTGGCAAAAACTTAATTTGTCTCTGGAGAACATCTTACTTCCTTCCATATGTTGCCTGATCTGTCACAGCAATAAACTTCTTCCCAGTTTCAAGATCCCTGATGATTGCACGAAATGATGCTTTCCATAAGAGATAATGGTTCCAGCCCTCTACAAGTCATGATTCTCCCTTAAGAGAAAGCAACACAAAGGAGTACAAGAGTGACYGCCCTGTATTACAGCCTCTATTTTGACCTAGAATCCAGAGATTTTAAACAGTTCCTACCTACAATTGATCCCAGTTGTTTTGTAATCTCTCTGAATTTGATAGTTTCTTTAAAATGCTGCCATGTCACAATTAATGTATATGCCTTGGCTTTRTAAACTCTTGTCCTGCTGTCCTTGTTGTTTAGGGTGCCTTCCAAAGAAACAGCTTAGCCTGTTTAATAATTATGCATGTTTATGGTTTTGTATAAAACAAACCAGATGTTTCAGAGTCAATTTTATTTGGTGATGTCTTGTCTAACCTATATTCTGGAATGCATTTATCCTCTATTTGAATAACATTAGGAATAGTATGTTCTGATTTATTTTATGTTAGAAATATGTATATTCTGGTGTCTTCCTCTTTCTGATGAACTCACATGCAACCATACTGGTTTAATAGTTAATATTTTAAAAAGAATATACTGTTGGTTTAGAAGTCAAGTGTAACAAAACAGACTAGTGCATATGATTCAAATATTTAATAATTTTAATTTATACTGCATTTAAGTGCTCTGCTGACTTCAGACCATAATCAAGTTATAGTTTTGTTYGGAAACAAAACCACTTGGAGCTGTTAGAGATATACACAGAACACAAATGTAGTTACCAAAACACTCATCTGCCAAGCTGATATAAAACAGTATGTTTCCAATTCTCTATGAACTCTCTATGAATGTTCCTTTATGCTCAGGAGTGATGGAGTGAGTTTAGTTAGGATGATAAAACCCATCCTTACATGAGAATTCAGAGTGTTTCTGCTGATTTTAGAGAAGCTCTTTATTTTTCTGAATGTGACTAGTAGGAAAACAAATGATCCAAATCTTTAGCTGATAATGAAGCTATAAAAGTTTCTTCCCAGGAAAGAAACTGGGCAAGTCCCAAACACCTCACCATGTGGCAGAAATTCACATAGAGGCTCAATGCATATATGTTTAGTTGTGCACATTAAGGTTGATTACTGACATTTTGAATGTTGACTGTTTCTTTTTTGTTATATAATTTCCCTGTTTATTCAAAGGAAGCTGGTGGGCTCAATGCTGTTATGGAGCTTGAAAATTCTCAACTGAGAAAAGTAAGAGAATATACAGTAAATGAAGTAATAAATTAAGCAGAAAAGAGGAATCAGTTGTCATTTTAAACTTCTTGTGAYACCAGTAATACAGTGATGTTCAGTAAAATTTTAAATCTACAAATTAAAGTTTAACAATTAAAGAGAAATAATGTATGCTAAGCACTGGTTTTCTTGCAAGTATATGATCTGAGTATGAGTTATATTATTGCCCAGCCATTCACCTCCCATAATTTTCCTTTCACTATCAACTTCTCTGCCTATACTGTATTTTCTGCTGCTTTGTTTAGTGAGCTATTCTGAAGATGAACATTTACCTTCTCTCAGACTTCCTTCCAGTGACTTCCACAAATGGAACTGGTGCTGGCCTTTGCTGAAAATCCTCACTTCACCATATCTATACAGATACCCTAACCCCTATGCCTGGGGTAGGGGCCAGGAGCAAAGGATTTAACTCAGAGTAACTGAAACGAGGAGCTTTGAGCCTCCAGGACCCACATCTACCATGACAGCAGCTGGCTGGGGGCCTCACATGAAATGTAAGGCCTTAGGGAGCATTGGTGCCCAGGGTGTGGCACAGCAGTTTGCACAGAAGGGTGCTGAGGCAGTGCCAGCTYRGCCAGGGAGCWGTGACATCCACCTGGCAGAAAGCCACGGCCATGCTCAGCTCCACACCTGGCACGGCTGGCACAGCTGCCCAGACAGCTCTGGCAGGAACATGCTGCCAGTCAGGTGCCACCTGC